ATTGTTTAAATTGGATAATAGATAAAAGTCACAACACAGTCATTTCAGATAGTAGATAAAAAAGATAATAGATTTTTATTGAGTGCGAATTAATTAAAAATCATCTCTCGAACATTATTGTTTACACGATAAATAACAATATACTTACGACCTTGGCATCAACAAATTTAAGGTGATCTATGGCAAAAACCATTTTCTCAAAATTTGGTTTCAAAAAGTCACAACCTCCTCAAATTGTACGTTGATTTGTACTTTTGATTAAAAAAATGTTGGACAGTATGTAATTTTGGCTCCTGTGGGCGTCTCAAATTGTTTTTCGTTTTTGATACCTAAAAAATACCAAAATTTAAACTCTGCTTATTCATTGTTAAATTAGAAAATAGGTTTTGAATATTATTTATGAAAACTTAACCACACCAGTACCTTATGTCCATTTTCTAATGCCATCTTATCGGCAGCATACCGTTTTGAAGGTTTATAAGATGATATTGTTCTCATCAATGCCAGTATGTTTACCTGCGTCCCTCGGGTTTATTTTTTCTTACGCGTTTTGTACTGTTGTCTTACCATAACTTACATATTGTTCCATTTTCAAATACTCACGTTTCATCCAAAAAGACACATCTGCGTCCAGTCTCAGATTGCATATTTTTTACTGTTGATAATGCAATATTGGGTAACTCCATTAAACCTCCTTTTGGATTATTTTTTTGATACCGCGAACCAATATTGGTAACAACTTTTCCTACGGAGTTTTTGGACCCATTAAATTCGTCTATTTCTTTTAGAACTTGCAAAGGGGATTGAAACGTAAAAGATGTTGTTCTAAAAATACATACGTAAACTGCTTATAATATTTACACAAATATTAATTTAATATAATATAATCTTTGCACACTTGACATAAGCACCTATCTACATTCAACCATTCAACGTGTTGTTTAACTTACTGTGTTGGATCGTGTCGTAGATCCGAATTCCGAATCGCTGCTTGTGTGAAACCATTAACGTCGCTAACGGGTTTCCTACATTGCCTGGTTTTTGTACGACACTTAGAGGTTTGCGCGATTTAGAAATTTGTGAAATAGAAGTTACTGTTCGCATCCACAACTCTGCCTAAAATGAAACTTGTTACGTATACAAATTCTTATATTACTAAAGTAATCACTCACCTCTCTTACTGATGCGACTGGTAAAAGTAGACCACCATTATCTCTTTCTCGTTTAAAATAACGAATAAGATTAGAAATAAGTTGCTTTTTTCTTAGCAAGCCCCAAGGAAAGCCAAAAAAAAACTACTGGTCATATATTTTTTAATCTTTTATTTTATTTCTGTACACAGATACCTTAGAACATGTTTGGTTATTATTTAATAAGATGATCTACAACTTTACATCACGATTCATCTATTGTGAGGGCCTTTTCGTTTCAAAAATTTCAAGCTTTTTTAAAAATCAAAATTCACTTAAGGGCTGTCATTTTTAATTGCAGTTCAAACACTGTTGTATACTTACAGTATTTTGAGTTGTCTATATTTATATTTCGTATATCGTAAAGGAACCAATAAAACCATTAACCGTAGGGGATAGAACCACGTTCCAGATGGGACTGAAACCCGCCCGGTCAACCCCTGGCTACGGACCTCAACTGACTCCACTTTGGCAAATTTTCGTTATCGAGAAATTTTAAATGTAAAAAAGAGTACTGAATTTCATTGTTATTATGCATGGAAATTCATCAACTAGCCAGTTAACCTTATAGTTTCATGAAATCACTCCAGTCAGCATTGTAAATTAGATCTCTGCAGTTGCTAACTTTCCTGAGCAAATATAATTCCCTTCGGGACTATTCAGAATTTGCATATTTCGAATTTTCATTTAAAGTTGAGGAGAGGGATGAAAATGTTTCAATTTTCCTAAAAGCAGAACAAAAAAACCAAAAGACGCGCTAAAAAGATAATTCCGCAATGAAACACATTTAAAATTATTTCATTAATTATTAAACTAAGGAACAAGAGGAAATGGTAGGGAGTAGAGAAGAGGAGTGAAGAAATATGAAGGAGATTCTCCAATAGGATATAACGTAGAACAGCTAAATGAAGGGAAAGGGAGAGATAATAGATAGAAGATAATGATGAAAGAAACACAAGGAGAGATAGAGAAGGAGTGCAAAAGAAAATGTAAAGAAAAAATGGAGAAGCAGAAAAACAAATCAGGGAAATAAAAACAGAGAAGAACTTTTAGAAGGTGATACACAGAGGAAAAGGAAAAAACATAATCAGTGGGAGAGAAATACAAATAGAGGACTGGAATCAGTACTTTATTAAGGTTCTGCACGGAAATCAGGACAAAGAAGTGATAGGAAGACAGGAGGTGGAAGGAGACGAGAATTCAAGTGCTTGAGCAGCAACTAAAAAGGCCGAAGAAAGGGAAATCGGCAGGGAAGGATGAAGTTAGAAATGCGGCTTGGATTTTCGCTACAGCTAGTATCAAGGAGACGCTGAGGCAACTAATAAACGAGATATGAAAAGGAGAGGGACTATTATGATAAACATCCTTATCTTGGACACACTGCATAAGAGCGGTATTAAAAAAAATTAAGTTGATGATGGTTTCGCAAAGACCCTAATTTGACCATTGTCTATGGTTTCAGAGTTCCCCATGATAAGACATCCTTATCCGTATATTACGTTACTATAAGGAGGCGAGGGTGAAGGGAGGGCGCGGAGATGAAGGTAATATCACTTTGTACCTAGGCTGTTCACCGTAATAGACATAATTACACCCCACTTACGTACAGTATCTTGGAATAACATTTATTTCAATAACGTGAAATTTTTGTCTGGAAAAAAATACACTAATCCATAAGATATATTTTTCATGGCCAATTTTTGCGCCCCCCGGTGGCGGCCGCCCATCTCGCAACTGCCTAGATACGGCTCTGATTGGGGAGACTAAAGAAAAAAAATATTATGAAAAAATGGATACGGATGGGCCAAGATCGTAAGTATAGAAATAGAAAAAACTATGGAGGATGAAGAACGGGGACAAAGATATAAAAGTGCAGCAACAGAGAGAAAAATCGAGAGATCACGAGGAAACAGTAAGTACAAGGAGCTGATAAAGGAGTGGTTACCGAAATACCTAAGTGAGGGAAGAAAAAAAATCAACATTAGCGAGATTTAGATGCGGAAACGAGGAGAGAGGAAAGGAGAAGTGGAGAGAAGAAGAAGAAAGGAAATGCAGAATTTGTGGAGAGAAAAAGGAAGATATTGAGCACATGCTATGGGAATGTAAAAAAGTAAAAAGAACAAGGGAAAGCAAGAGAAATACTTGAAAAGGGGAGGAAGGAGAAAAACAATGTATGAAAATGTTTTTAGATAAAAGGGATGAAACACATAAACGATAGCTTTTTGTAGTTGATTTAGTGTAAAAAGTGTTCGCCAAATCGCAATAAATATTGTTTAATTTATTGAATTAATATAAAAACAGTATTGCTGAAGAAGAAGCAAACTTATTTTTACGTTGAGAAATATAACTATGGATGATTCACATATAATCAAGCAACTCTTCCATGTATTTTGGAGGCCTCCGAATACATAAATTGACTGATTTGGCTTTACCTTGTTACCTTGCGTCAACACATTCATCAACTGCCCTGGTATCGGACATTTTAAAAACGGCTCGTTTGACCGAAGCTTGGCATCAATGGCATCTTTACAAATTCACTCTGTTCTGGAACCATCTGGGAGGTTGAGAGATGATAAGAGGGCAGACGGGGTATTACTTCGATCCCTTGGCAAAGAGGGCGCTCTCTTGCGTGGTATGTAACTGTGGCAGATACGTTTGCTCGTAGTTATTTGAATTCTACCAGAAAAACTAGCCACTGAATATCTGTGGCAACATCTTTCTATAGAAGTTCAACGGGGTAATGCGACTGGGATATTGGGAATCATGCCACGTTCTAAGGACTTTAGTTCTATTTTCTGATTTTATGTTTATAGTTTCCTTAATTTTAGAGTTGTTCTGATGAATAATGTTACTGTTAATATCGGAAATAACTCATTTTTACTAATATAAAAAGTGTTTATTATTCATGCCCCAACCGTTAAGTTTTTTGGGGTGTACTACACCGACTCACACACTCGTATCTATGACTGTAGCACATGTTACACATGCCTCAAAAGGCACCGCATTGCTAAATTAAACATTCTATTAAACAAAACTCATTATTTCATTAATATAGTACTCATACTCAAACCTATACACACAACTTCGAGCCTTTTTGTGGAGGTAGCAATTGTTATACAGCGATACATTTTTATATAAAACTGCAACTTGGATGATAAAGGTAAATACACATTATCCTTACAGCATTGGTGACTTTGTTTGAAATTTTACAATACACCTCGTAAACAAGCGATTAGGTAACAAATTTACCGTATCACAATAATGATTATCTTCACGCAAGTTCTAAACATATCATACAAATCGATTGGGTAGCGCCTACCTACCCTGTAGTCCAGATTTGGTTACCTCAGATTTGCACATATTTGAATAATACTGAAGAGTGAAGACGATTAAAAAAGGGCGAAAACCTAAACCATAGTCAGTGTGAAGAAAATTATTACAACTACAGAGCGTGCACTCCATTGTTTCTATATCAAGGAAGGCCGTGGAACTTGGGGAGTATCATTTGGAACGGCACGTTGGCAATAATCTGTTTATTGTATGATTTCATTTTCGTATAATAAATAGTATTTCTGTACCGCTAGACAAGGTATGGTTACTAAATCTCTGGGCACAGACAAGTAACTAAAAAAATGATCCCATGAGACTTTAGAATGGGAAAAAGTAGTCAAGTTGGACAGGCTTACAGATATTACGATTAAACAAGCTTTCAATACTTAAACATCCCATGTTCCCAAGTTCAAAATTTCCCTTTTTTCGTGACGACACTCACAAATTACAAGGAAAATGATAATAATTAAAACTACTTACATTTCTGTTGTTGGAAGAGGAACTAGCTGCTCACAATGCACAAATTAAAATGAAAGACCTGACCTGATCGGGACGCAAGTGTATATCACTCCTTCCATACGATGGTCGAGTTGAATGAATGTTATCAGTTCATGCATATTGTAGATAATAAATTCGTCAAACGAAATATTGGAATTTCCGTACCTGGTCCGATACAAATAAATTGTTTTTGTGATATCATCTTTATAATTTCTTAAATCTAATAACGATTTTTTAAAAACAAATGCACAGCAAGAGATTATTGGGCTTAGGTACCTACTATTCTTACTAAACTATAAAGGGCAAAGTAAGTAAGAAACACTTTTCCCCTGCTCACTGCTGAAATGTAAAATTTGAGATTGTGATATAATACAGGGTGTCTACTGTCTATGTCTAACAAAACGAATAAGGATGGGTTTCTGACAATTTGTACATTAGAATAGCTCAATTTGTCTGTTTCGGTTTCAACCCTGTTCATTTTGTAACAAAAGATGTAACCATACTGTTCTAATTTCTAATTCAATTTTTGCAATGCACTAAATTTTGGACTAAAGTTTGTGTATCTGTTAGCGACAAAGCCAGTTAGGTCGCTAATCTTAGGTTTGCCTAGGTCCTAGGTAATTCTCCAGGCACAGTTTGAGGGTATTCGTATTACGAACTTCGCCTGATCTCGAAATCATTTTATGCAGGTATTTAAAATTAGAAATACAGCATGTAGCATGAAACTGCCACATTTTAACCACTTTTCCCACTATTTACAGGGTGTTCTACCGGGGGGCACAAAATTGGCCATGAAAAATATTTGCTATGGATTAGTGTATTTTTCACGTTATTGAAATAAATGTTATTCCAAATTGTTAAAAGTTACTGTACGTAAGTGGCGTGTAATTATGTTTACAGTCTAGTTGGCTAGGTACAAAGTCTCATCCCCGCCCCCTCCCTTACCTCCTTATAATAACGTAGTACACACTGTGTTCAAGATAAGGATGTCTAATGTCTATCATAGAGATTTCTGAAACCATAGATGATACGACGAAAGTCAAATTAGGGTCTTTGCGGAACCATCATCAACTTAATTAGTCAAATTATAGAAAAGATGGTAAATTAGAATTAGAAGGAGTTAACTTAAAATTAGAATACTTTAATAGTCTGCTTACTTACCTACTGAATAAGCATTTACCTCTCAAATCCAAAGTTTTTAAGAATACTCCTTCACCGTGGCTGTCCGAGAACACAAAGTTGCTAATTAAATTAAGGGATAATGCCCTGCGGAAAAGTAGGCAAACTGGAAAACCGCAACACTGGGATTATTACAAATCTCTGAGGAATTTTACTAATCTTACTATTAATTAAGAATGATAAAAAAGCTTATTTTAATTTCCGTGCACGACAATGTACTTCATGGCTTAATTTATGCAGCAGCGGAATCATATCTAAAAAAGTCGTCGACATATAGTACCTTTGCACCTTCAAATACCTGATGATATTAATACGTTCTTCATCAAGTCTGTACCTAATCTAAACGGTAATATTGATCGAGTTCTATAATAGTGGAAAGCTTAATGCTAACATTCCGGAGTTTAAGTTTCAAACTGTCACACCTGATCAAATATTTGACATTATTCTAAACCTGAAATCTAACGCTTGTGGTGTAGATAATTTTAATGTAAAATTCATCAAATTGTGTTGTCCTTTCTTAATCCCATTCATCACTCATCTTGTAAATACAGCCATTTTGGAGTGTGAGTTTCGTCCTTGTGGAAAAAAGCAATCGTTAAACCGATACCAAAAATATTAAAACCAGGAAGTTATTCGGACCTTAGGCCGATCAGTACCTATACTGCCAATGTTATCTAAAGTTTTGGAAAGATGCCTAGAGTTGCAAATAAGGAACTTCGTCACACAATTCAATCTACTACCGGAAATGCAATCCGGATTCAGACCAAATCATAGTTGCTCTACAGCCTTGGCGCATGTGATGGATGATATACTTTGTGCAATTGATGGCGGGAAGATTACGGTGTTGGTTCTATTAGACTACAGTAAAGCATTTGACACTATTGACCATAATATACTGTTAGCAGTGTTACGGCACCTTGGCTTTGGTAACTGTGCACTTAACCTCATGAAAAGTTTTCTAGAGGGTAGATCTCAATTAGTTTATAGTTTAAATCATACATTTTCTAATGTATTGACTGTTAAGTCCGGCGTACCTCAAGGTTCTATATTAGGACCATTGCTTATACGTTGTACACAAGTCAGTTGCACAAAGTTCTAAAGACTTGCAGTTATCATCTATATGCGGACGACACACAGTTATATTACTCCTTCTTTAAACATGAATTACATAATGCTTGTACAAAGATAAATGCGGATCTGAGTTTTCTCTATTCCCACTCTAAAGATCATAATTTACTGCTCAATCCTAAGAAATTCGTCGCGTTGGTATTTGGTGCAGGAGCATTACTTTCTGCTGAGAATGTAAAATTACGTATTGATGATGTACCAATTAATGTAAAAAATGTCGCTAAAAATTTAGGATTGTGCGTAGATAGTGATCTTCGCTTTAGAGAACATGTAAGGAACTGTATACGCAAGGCTTATGGAAATTTGAAATGCCTGTATCCGCACCGAGCATTCCTGTCCGTTAAGACAAAAAAAATGTTGTGCGACTCGTTAGTGTTGTCGCAATTTAATCATTGTGACATGGTCTATGGGCCATGTCTTGATGCTGCCTCTGACAAACGTATACAGGTTGTTCAAAATGATTGTGTTCGCTTCATTTTTGGTCTTAGGCGTCGCAGTCATATCTCTCACAAATTGAGAGAATTAGCGTGGCTTAATATGTCACAAAGGCGGAAGCTTCATTCTTTATGTGTGTATCACTCTTTAATTACTACTGGGTTTCCGAAATATCTTAATAACAAGATACGATACCGTACCGACGTACACAACGTGAATATACGGGGAAAGGGATTATTATCGACGCCCTCCTTCAAGTTTATTTCTAAATCAGCTTATCTGAAATCATTTTCTTACAACGCAGTTGTAATGTACAATGCCCTTTTTCACCCGAATTGAAACGCTTACCTTAAAATTATTTAAATATCGTATGACATCTTTAATGTTAGACGATTAACGTGCACAAAGCAAATATGGCAATCACAGTAGGCATCACTGTCTATAGGGTAACACTGGTCGGATTATATTTACATTCTGTCAGTTATGGGTTCTTTCGCAGCAATTTTGAGGTTAAGTGGTAGAGCGGAGAAGAGCAGTCCCTCAGTATTGCTCTTCAACCGAACTTCGCCTTTGGGGTTGCAGTCTATTGCATATACGTGCACGGTGCATCTGCATCTTTAAACTGTAAAAATATGTACTACCTAATCGTATTTGTGAACTGCTGCATCACCCAATAAAGCTATATTATTATATTATTATTAAATTAAGTTATTTTCATGTTGTAAGGAAAACAAGAAAATTGTGACTACTTCCAAATATATGCCAACAAATCCGAAATTTGCTTACTAACGTGCGTGTTAAAAAAATAAAATTCCACCACAAAATTTTTTTTTAAAAAAGCGAAATTCTCGAACCATAAAATATTAAAACTTTAACTTAACTTAACGGTTTATTTGGAAAAAGTGCTTATCTTGATCCCCTCTATCACCCGATTTTTTTTTACATGCGGTCATGTAACACCCTGTATATCAAGAATAAGATATACCTAGCATATACGTCGACGGTTGCGTTGGTTACCATTGTGTTAACCAATGGGATACATGCTGCTGTGGCAGATATTCCAAGGATATAGTCGATCCGTTATTACTATTCCGATATGTAATTAACCCCACTAAATGCAAAGTTAACTTATTTTTACCTCACGTCGTCGATTAAACATAAACTGCATCGCGTTATTGTTGACGTCGAGGTTGACGTGCAGAATAAGAATGAACAAAATACGGTACCGCAACGGCTAAGCGATTCTAGATCGTATCGCCTACGTCAAAGATTGTTAATTAAGGTGAATTTCGCTTCCATCCAGTTTTCTTTACAGTAATGTTGTTTACGCCTATACCTGATGCAATTAAACTGCGGTTCTAAAATTTTATCGAATCGGATGCTTAATGCCTGGGCCCGATACAAATTCATCCGATTCGATAAAATTGCAAAAGCGATGACCGTGTCAGTACCAACGAGCGATCCAGGCCTTTCATGGCTCAAAATCATGACTGCATCATAGTCATCCACAGGATCGGTCCAAGACACAACCCCTATGGACAACCACGCGACAAAGGGTATCTTCTAGAATCTGACACAAGTGTGTAATTCAGTAAAAAGCTTGCCGTAATACCAAAGATGTTTCTTGGAGTGTCTATATTGTTATGTTTGTATTTCGTGGATTCTTGCTTATAATGATTTATATGAATGGAACAGAATGGAACAACTTTAATTTATTGACAATTTTTTTACTTATTATTTCTGTAACTAGGATACTCTTTTCCAGCGCAATTATGATGTAATTTTAAATATATATAACATATATCTCCCTCAATCTGCGAACAATGGCTGAGTGAGTGTTTGCATCTTCAACTTTAGTTACATACCGTTTGCACCTCTTGACATTTTCCATTCTCTTTATACATTTGGCTCTCATCTCCAGATGAGAAATATAAATAATAAAAAAATCAGGACCCACCATTAACAACCTCTTTTGATATTCATTTTGATATAATTTTGCAATGGTTTTCCGGCGAGTCATTGTTTAATTACGGATTAAACAGCCGACGAATAGAGAATTAGGCAATATGTACAAATTAGATAAGTATAAATAGGTACCTATACCTACAGTATACATTAAGTGTTGCGATACGCATATGAATTGAATGTAGAACAGGTCGAATTGAGTAAGGTATAAAGTTGCAAGGTAATGGTAATGAAACCGCTTAGGTAAGAAAGCAAACACACTTGAATTGGAATCAGTACACAGTGACGTTATACCCTAGGCATTTTGCAAAATGACCAATGAAGCAGGCAAAGTGAGAAATGGAACTCGAGTTCGCACTTCTCCTGCCTCTATGATTTCGCGAAATGCCTAAACATTCAGGCAAAGTGAGAATCCTCGGTAGTTTTCCACAGATTGCGCGTACAGCGGTGCCAAACGTAAAACTAATACCTTCTCCTATTATTCTCCACAGTAAATCCAAAGCTTACGTAAAGCGTGCCTCAACAGAAAACCCATAGAAGAAATGCAGTCTAAACGTGAGCGCAATATTTAGCGAGTACTTAAATAAAATCGCAATGGCAACGCTGTATGCGCAATCGGTGGGAAATGACGAAGCCTTCGCACTTTGCCTGCATGTATGGGCGCGAAATCCCTAAAGAGAGGCAGGCAAAATGCGAACTTCAGCTCCATTTCTCACTTTGCCTGCTGCATTCGTCATTTCGCGAAATGCCTAGGCACTTTGCAAAATGACGGATTTCGCAGTTTATCGGTAACATATATAAATTTTTAACCATTGTAAGTAAATCAGTCTTCGAATGAAACGTATTTTGTTCAATTAAACAACGGGGATGTAAGAAACCATCTACAATTGGCACAAATGACGGCGTATCCCTCATATCCCCTATACTATTCCTCGTTTCAATTGTTTTCCATGGACATCGTCTTCACGAATGATTACTAGATCTCTTACTTTGATCGGTTCCTTCTTTCAAACCACTTTGTTCGTCTTGCTAATAGTCTCTCATCCACCTACGCAAAAAATGGTTTTTGAAAGCATTTACCACTCGCCATTGCTTTCGAAACGTCCATAATTTTTCGTCTTCACTATAAGGTGACTGGATAGCATTTGTATCTCCAATTAAGAAAGAATTTGGAGGTATACGAGTCAAAGGTCTAGAGCTGACCATGTTTACTGCTTCAACCAAACAAGTGCCTTTCAACCCTATGAAGCTGCTTCCTCTAACGACTCTTCTAATAGATCGCACTAGTCGCTCCCAACATCCGCCCACTGATTGGACAGTTGAACAAACATTCAATTCCTTTCATTGTTAATTCATCAACTCACCAACAATCTGTCGATAAGTCTTGTGCAATTTCCAGATATACTGCACGAATTCTCAAGCAAGAGAATAATGCCACCCACTTCTTTTCATGCCTCCTTCCAATTGTAACATGAACATGGCCTCTGGCTGAGCTGCCTCATTCTTACATTCTAAATCTCCTAAATTTTGGTACTCTAGGGGAACCAGCCCCACTCTCGTGGGATCTTCTTCAGTCCTATACACCTCTCTGTAACCTGTTGCTTATGTAACCAAGTGCTCCTTGGATTCATTTTCAAGATAGGAAATAGCAAAGCCAAAAATCGGCTATAATCCAGCAATAAGCCAAACGTTCTTGAAATGTTGACAAACTAGTACACCCTGTAATTAATAACTTTGGCCACGTGCATATTTTCTTACGGTAGTATTATAAACGTACCTCAGGGAGTGGTGAAATTATTTACTTTTGTGAAAGACAGGGAACTGAAGGTTGTTATACTCATTGAATGGGCGTGATAAGTAAGAATGGGTTCGTGTGTTGCGGATTAAATTCCATATCCGTAAGACACTTTACAATTATTGTGTAATATGCTACTTAACACTCGTAATCGTATCGAAACTGAGGGTAATTTCGCTTTGTTTTATCTGCAGATGTTGAAATTCCCTTTGGTACTCCTCGCGGTTCTCATTGGAAGTTCATCCGCTCAAAATTTGGAGACGGTCGTCCAATGGAATTTGGCGGATTTCAATTTTCCGGTGCCAGACTACGGATTCTTGGCGAATTTTCGGTAAGCAAGCAGCAGTGGAGGAGTAACTGTTTATCGTCGACTTTTTAGGGCGGACCGAACTGTTGTGACCGGAATTGAGATATCGAGAGATCGAATTTTTTTAGCGATGCCGAGAATTTTCGCGGGTGTTCCGGCGACGATCGCTTACGTGCCGAAGAACGTGCCGCTCGGTTCTAGTCCAAAGTTGGAAGCCTTCCCCAATTGGGCGTTCCACGATGCCGGACGTGGCGTCAATAGTAGTTGTGATGGTCTCATTTCTGTTTATCGTATTAAATTGGATTCGTGCGGGAGGCTGTGGGTAAGTCCGTTCTGGTAGGTTTTCTCTTTTAACCACGGATCTAGGTTTTAGATTCCGGGATTATGACGTCACTAGAAGACTTCCGCCCCGTATGCCCACCTAAGATTGTGATCTTTGACCTTAACACCGATCAGGTTGCTAGAACTATTATATTCCCACGCGAAGTTCTTCGACCCAGTTCACTTTTGACCAACTTAGTCATTGACGAAAGTATTCAGGGAACGTGCGATTCGTCCTTTATATACATCACAGATACGGTTGCACCAGGTATACTTTGGATCAGCTCAATTTGTCCTACAAGGTGCGATTTCAGGAATCGTAGTGTACGACTCTCTCACGGACAGAGCGTGGAGGGTCACCCATCCGTCCATGTTTCCCGATCCTGATTTCGCCGATTCAACAATCAATGGCGAAACGATAACGCTTATGGATGGCATCGTCGGCCTCGCCCATTCCGCAAACCTAGGAGCGGTTTACTTTCAACCGTTTGCCACCAACAGGTATGCCTAAGCCAACTTTGGTTCAAATCTAACAGAATACGTTGCAGAATATTTAGCATCCCCACAGCCGCTCTACGGAAAGGACCGCCAGCCGAGTTAGAAGCGTTACCAGTCTCACTAGTGGGGACGAAGTCATCCCAAGGCATCGGCATAGCTGTCGATCCTAGAGACGATACCCTATTCTTTAGTCCCGTTTCGGAAACTTCCATCGGCACTTGGAATCCTGTCAATAACAATCAAAGGTAACTTGACAGCCCTGAATTAACGTTACTCATTGCTCTTGTAGATTGGTGGCTTACGACCAAGACCGCCTCCAATTCGTGGCCGACATCAAATGGAATCCGCACGAAAGTGACTTGTGGGTACTCTCCTCGCGCTTCCAAAAGTACTTTAGAAGATCGATTAATCCCAATGAAGTAAACGTGAGAGTACTGCGTATCACTGGCAACGCCTCCAATTTAGGTAACAGCAATGCCTTCTTCAAAAAATAGGACTTTCACTGTACCTTTCGAGTTTACTGTGTTGTAAATAATTCACTGCAAATTATATCACATAATCAAACAAATCATACCCGTCAATTACTTAAATATTCGTATTTATGTCGTAATGTAATAATTTCTTGTCAAATCAGATGTAATTATGTCTTGTTAATTATAGGCTTAGATGCATGTACCAACTAAGAAGTAATTACTAGAAAAATGGCTCAATTAGTTACTTGTTATATATAAATTAAAATAATTTGAAACGTTTCCAGTTTTATAAATTGCATATGTTGCGTGTCTATTGCCTCAAGTTTGAATCCCATCAGAGTACCTAAGGCTTTTTTGAACACTTCCTTGATAGTGGAGTGTTTAAAGAAAGCAACAGAATTTTTTCTTCGAATTTTTCTAATTCTTACGTTAAAATTCGTCAAATTCTTTCACGGATTGGGATTTTTCTGAACTTTCATGTTATTCAGATTCCTCAACTTTTGTTGTTGTTTCTTCAAATTTGTCTGGTCAAATTCATTGGATTCTTCAAAATCTATCATTTATCCTGATTGCTCCGATTCACATTCTACGGATCGATTGAATTTTTCGGAATTTTTTTTGTCTATAGACACCTCGACTCTTCAGATTCTTCGTACTTTTCGATCTTAGCTTCGGTTTACATTGTGTAATGGTAAACCTAATTTTGGATTTAAATTTTCGATCTTTTCGCAGAAAAAATGGGAAAATGTGGAGAAAATGGGGAAGTGGAGAAAATGGTAATTGTATGTAGAAAGTTTAGGAGTCGTGCTTTACTTTTTTCTTGTTTCTTAATTGCTTTCGGAAATCAGTAGAGCCATAATGTCTGGAGTTTATGTCGTATTTCATCTTTTTAGTTGGTACGATTGAGTTACTTTTTCAGATTCGCCGAACAGACGTGTTTTTGGATTCTCCACGGCCCAAAAATCCAGTTTCGGGAAGTAGTTAATGAAAAATCAGTAAGTATTATTGACGCAAGCGCGCTAAAAAAATCAATTCGTTTAGTTCAAACCGCATCAAAATCGGACCGGTGGCTTTGAAGCTATGGCGCCTTCTAAGTGCTATCTACACAAAACCAAAAATAAGGCGACTGATAGGTCCGTAGTGGAGCGACGGGGGTTGTTAGGAGACCGGGGAAGGGGGAGTTCGGAGAGGAACACTTTGGTACCCAACACCAGGGAGTTGGATCAGCCCTTGCGTGCGGGAAACAAGGGAGGAATCCGAAGCAAGTGGTTCCTAGTGGTGTGGAGGGAAAGGTCGTGCGAACAGTAACAGGACACGAGTGGACTCCACCTAGAAGACTTGAAGGTGGAAATGTACCAACACGGCCGAGTGGAGAAAACGACGGACGACGAGATTATTCAGGGGACACCAGCTGAGTGTAGTAGAAAAAGAGTCAAAGTGGAGGGCGGAAGCGACAGTGACACTGCCTGGGCTCTAAATATCAACAGACAAAGACGCAAAAGCGAGCAGAAGGGTGGAGCAGATACGGTTATCGTTACTCTAAGATAGTCGATGAACAAGCTGGAGGATATCCGGGAAATGGTAAGCCTGGAGAGGATCATGAGAGAAAGAACCGACGACATTAACGAGACATGGAGGAAGAAAGTTAGATTAGTGGAGCAGACCACCACTGACCAGGAGTCAGGACCTGAATCGGAGAGAAAATGGGAAACACAAAGGAGGATAAAGAGTCCTAAGAAACCCAAATCCTGGAGTGCGAGTGAGGGCACTCGACGAGGTGGTGTTCGTGTGAAGTTACAGAGGGGCAATCACATACTGAGAAAAATGAGACAAACGGACATGTTGACGGGATGACCAAGATCGAAAGTATATCGAAGATGAGGACCGGCGACATCCTCTTCCAGGTAGAGAAGGGGGTGTGGACACAGAGCTGGGCAGTATTCGATTTTGTAAATACTTTTTAGTATTCAAATCCTTTAAAGTATTCAAATACTTTGTAATTAAATACTTTTATGGAAGCAGTATTTGTTTTTGTAACTCAAATACTTCCACAAATATTTAGTATTCGAATACTTCGCAAAGTATTTGGATACTTCGTAAAGTATTCGAATACTTCGCAAGGTATTTGAATACTTTGAGAAGTATTCGAATACTTCGCATAGTATTTGAATACACCTTCCTTTTTTTACCAAAAATCGACTACTCCAAAATTTCTCGGGAAAACACTTTTTCTTATTAATTTTGGTGCGTAGAATCCAAAACGATTCGTACATTTTCGATTAGACTTCTCAATCAAAAGTTAGGGGTAAAAAACGAAATTCGAGAAAAATTTCGAAGGGCTGTAACCTTTGATCTAGTGGCCCAATCTTGGAACTGTTTAAAATTATGGATTCTACAGGCCACATTCTATAAGAAAATTTTTTCCAGGTCGATCTGAGACAATTTTTTTCCGGGGCTTAAAAAAAGGCAGTGTATAACCTTCCTTTTTTGCCAAAAATCGACTGCACCGAAATTTCTGGAGAAAACACTTTTTCTTATTACTTTTGGTGCGTAGAATCCAAAACGATTCGAACTTATTCGATTACACTTCTCAATCAAAAGTTAGGGGTAAAAAACGAAATTCGAGAAAATTTTCAAAGGGCTGTAACTTTTGAACTAGTAGCCCAATTTTGGAACTGTTTGAAATTATGGATTCTACAGGCCACATTCTATAAGAAAGTTTTTTTTCGGGTCGATCTGAGCCAATTATTTTTCCGGGGCCCAAAAAAAGGCAGTGTATAACCTTCCTTTTTTACCAAAAATCGACTGCACCAAAATTTCCCGGGAAAACACTTTTTCTTATTAATTTTGGTGCGTAGAATCCAAAACAATTCGTACTTTTTCGTACAGACTTCTCAATCAAAAGTTATTGACTAGAAACCAATTTCGAAAGAAAATTCAAAGGGCTGTAACTTTTGAACTAGTAGCCCAGTCTTGGAACTGTTTGAAATTATGGATTCTACAGGCCACATTCTATAAGAAAATTTTTTTTCCGGGTCGATCTGAGCCAATTATTTTTCAGGGGCTCAAAAAAAGGCAGTGTATAACCTTCCTTTTTTGTCAAAAATCGACAGCACCAAAATTTCTCGGGAAAACACTTTTTCTTATTAATTTTGGTGCGTATAATCCAAAACGATTCGTACCTTTTCGATTAGACTTCTCAATCAAAAGTTAGGGGTAAAAACGAAATTCGAGAAAAATTTCAAAGGGCTGTAACTTTTGAAGTAGGAGCCCAATTTTGGAACTGTTTGAAATTATGGATTCTACAGGCCACATTCTATAAGAAAATTTTTTTTTCGATCTGAGCCAATTTTTTTTCCGGGGCTCAAAAAAAGGCAGTATAACCTTCCTTTTTTGCCAAAAATCGACTGCACCAAAATTTCTCGGGAAAACACTTTTTCTTATTAACTTTGGTGCGTAGAATCCAAAACGATTCGTACCTTTTCGATTAGACTTCTCAATCAAAAGTTAGGGGTAAAAAACGAAATTTGAGAAAAATTTCAAAGGGCTGTAACTTTTGAACTAGTAGCTCAATTTTGGAACTGTTTGAAATTATGGATTCTACAGGCCACATTCTATAAGAAAATTTTTTTTCCGGGTCGATCTGAGCCACTTATTTTTCCGGGGCTCAAAAAAAGGCAGTGTATAACCTTCCTTTTTTACCAAAAATCGACTGCACCAAAATTTCTCGGGAAAGCACTTTTTCTTATTAATTTTGTTGCGTAGAAATATTGCATACATACGGAATGTAGGTACTGGCAATATAAAATATACAAATACAAAAACAAATCCAAAACGATTCGTATTTTTTCGTTTAGATTTCTCAATCAAAAGTTATAGACTAGAAACCAGTTTCGAAAGAAAATTCAAAGGGCTGTAACTTTTGAACAAGTAGCCCAATCTTCAAACTGTTTGAAATTATGGACTCTCGATCGATCTCGATCTCAGACAATTTTTTTTTCCGGCCTCAAAAAAAGGCAGTACTTTTAAGTTATTCTGATATTTGAGAACAATTTAGAAATGTCTAAGGAAAGTTTCCATTGTCACAAAATCAAATATAAAAATCCGATACAACTGAATACCGGACGATCCTGGAGTGTCTCGATAGTGTACGTAACTTAAAAACAATAAGGACCTTTCTTATATCCTTAAAACCATGTGTACCAATTTTCAAATCGATCGCACGTTTCTAAACAAACTATCATGCACACGGACAAACGGATGGTCAAAAATGGATCTGTTCCAAAATCGCTAGGATTAATTTCAGAAAGGCGTACCATGTACACGACGCTTTGAAAACTGGTTCACGTATTCTTAAGGATATAACTGGTATAAGAAAGGTCCTTTTACTCCCCTTAAATTTGTATATAACAATAGAAATATAAAAAAAGCTAACCCCATACAAAGTATAACTTGATTTTTTATCTAGTATACTATTTTAAAATTTTAATGTATTTGAGTGACAAGTATTTGAATACTTTTTACTGTATTCGAATACTTTTTATAGTATTCGAATACCTTTGATAGTATTCGAATACTTTTGGTCTAACGCGGACCAGATACGCTGCAATACATGATAGAGTCAATAACGTTTTGGCCCAATGTAAGGGTGAGGACCCCAGCGCCCAGTGTTTCAACTGCGAGAACTCCGGAGTAGTAATGTATGGCCGCTTCTAAATCGCACTAGAAGAAAATCTCTAGAAAAGTCACTAAAATTGAGTGGTTCTGAACCGAGCTGGCGAGGTTGGCACCTGTGCAAAGGTCAATGTAATTCATTATGAATAAACCCATTTCTCCTTCGCACTTCAATTGCGTAGGTACTTAGGAAATTTCACTCCTGGTTAAATAATTATACAACAAATATTCATGCGTGTTTTATTTCTTTACTGCTGCTGAAGTACATACAACCTCGCTAGCGCAGTTCAGAACCACTCAATTCTAGTGACTTTTCTAGGGATGGTACAGACAATTAAATTATAGTGATGTTAATTTTTAGTAACATTGGAGATAGTTAAGTTTAAGGTTTAAAGTCTTTGAAGATTAAACGACGATAGTAAATCCGTGTTTTTCCATATTTCTACCGTCATATTTCTGTTTCTAGGAACGATATCATTATAATTCTTTCGGTGTCTTAAACTAGAATGATATGCGCCTATATAATTCCTTTTCTACTATTTGTGTAGATTTAAAAAGCCCTACAAAATCGCGCATTAATTATCCGCGCAGAGCAAAATTCACCATGCGAGAAAATTTTTTATTGTTAGTACAATTGTATCACATATATCGAATGAATTGTGACCAAAGGACACAAAAATGTTTTTCAGAAGCAATTTTTAAGAAATTGTTGTTTGTTTCCTTTTTTCAGCAGTTTTAGTAACTTCTGGAACACGCGAAGGCGCAATGGAAATTATTAGTTTTTAAATAATTATTACTAATCGACTTTCAAATAATGTTTTTAATATTTAGAGAACCATTAAACTCACAAAATTAAAAATATTATATACAGGGTAGATTGTAGATTGTCCGAGTGAATAGATCTGTAGTCTTTAATTTTAAATGGACGTTTCTAATAGTAATTTAAGAATATCTTTGATATTTTTCCATTATTATTATAAAATAATCTAGGAGTAAATAGGAGAGAAGAGAAGTTGCCACCAAGTCAAACCAGATTGATAAAAATTAGGCTTAAAGAATCGAGAATTGTACCAGACTTAGATCGTGGATTGAGGTTTGTTTTATTTATCAATATTTGTGTCAGTATGACGTTGGAATCGTTAGGAAAGTAGTAACAAATTCAGAGAATAATTATTACGTAAGTCAGGAAAATCCGAAAATGACACATTACCGGCGAGGAAATATTGAAGTACGACGACCTTTCGGGGCCAAGTACTTTAATTTCCGAGTCAAGTAGTGCCACTTTACCGACGAGTTTTGTATTAAATTTCACCCGAAATCGTACTTTAGTATAAAATTTCAATTTTCATATAGAACTTTTGATTAATGTCAATCTGCCCGTGAAGGAAAAGTGGTCTGGTAAAGTGTTACTGCCTCTGTCATGGAAACTAAAATTTCCTAACATAAAGTAGGCATGAAAATGAAGGTTTCATGGGTAAATAGGAAATTAGAAAAAAAACCAGATCCGAAGTATGAAGATTGGAAAAAGAAAAACTAAAAGGAGTCATAGTGTGCTCGCTTTTGAAGAAATCGTGAGGTTTAAAATAAAATATAACTTAGATAAAAATTTTTATTCGACTATTCTAATGGCAGTACAAAAAACTGCAATAAAATAAATAACTTAGCAGTCTATAAATTATCACGAATATCCTTTCTTCGACTATCAAGTCCTAAACTTCTCCAAAATTGCGCCCTATCGGGAAACAGTCCTTTCTTCAACTCAATATCGGTCGCCGATTGAATGTAGTAATAGTACTCTTCGCCCTTATGGACTGGTAACCACTTCTTGGCGGACGATTCGTTCGGTGTGGGGTCGCTACAACGCAGGTGAATGTGAGAAACGGAACCATTGGCTTCAGAAAGGTTACACTTACCCGTAGGTCGCAAAGTTGGTCCACAAGTCGATGAGAAGGTGGGTAACTTCTAGGTCTGCTTTTGTGGGGATGTAGTTGGGAAAGTCAAGGTCATTTTTGAAGAGGTAAAGGAGTTCGTCTTTAAATGTCACTTCTAAAAAACGCAGCTTTGGAGACGCAATTCGAGAGCTTCTAACCTTACCATTGTTTGTTCTGTTAATGAAGCTCTCACTTCCGCGATAGCCGAAGAGGTAATTGTAAATCGGCTGTTTGTGATATTTCATGTGCAGATCGAGGCTACTTCGCAGACCTTCCAGGAAGAGCCCATCGGTGAACATCTAAAAAGTAATGTGAACTACGAACCGCGATTCTTGGTAACTTGCCCTTACGTTTATAATATTGTCTTTAGAAGCTATGCCGATTTCGGTTTCGTTAAAGTAGAATTCTTTAATGTGGCTACTGATGACTGGCTTTTCGGCAACGATAGCCGTGTCCTTGTAATGTAAGGCTTGCGATGCCATCTCATTGAAGTTGGTTCGCCACTTTTGCAAGGTATTTGGATCCTTGAGCAGATCTGGCAATTTTCAAGAGTTAGAGAATTCAGGTGGGTTTCTGCTGATTTCCTTACTTGTTGCCTGGATAACGCCGCCTCCGGTAGCAATACCCATCATGATGGGCACGTTCGCCACTTGTCCAGCACGGACACTGCGTATTGGATCTGTTACAACAAACGCCCCCGGTTGCGGCGGAAATTCTAAGACCGGTTTGAACACCTCACTAATGCCATAGTCCTAAAATACGCTGATGGAGTGAGTAAAAAAAAACAAGTTGAAATTTATACCGAAAGCTGAGACGTTGCGTTTAGGATGGTTTTAGCGTCAACCCCCCTCAAGCACTTCACCATTTCCTGGACGGTGACACTCGCCGTACAACCGGCAAATCCTGATATAATCTTGCAATTAATGCCCACGACTTGGATCGGAGTCAACGCCCACGAGTTAAAAGCGGTTCCACTCTGAGTAATCACCCCGTTTACAAAATCTAGAGACGCACCTCAAGTTACCAGATTGCTTATCTTTACGTGCCTTTTTACCTTTGCTTAACGGTGAGATCATGTGATAGTGCACACTAGCACTCCCGGAACCGCTACCAAACAATGTAATTCTTTTGGGATTTCCACCGAAATGGTGAATGTGTTCGTTAACCCACTTCAAAGCAAACGCCTGGTCTTTCAAACCCATGTTACCTCTCACTGCGGTTCCGGCCGTTAGGAAAAAGCCTAACGGTCCTAAAATTTGTGGTCACATCTGGAGCTTGGGCGATGATGAAGCTTACCTAATCGATAGCCCACTGTGACCAGCACAACATCTTTGTTAAGCAAATACTCCGGCCCGTACTTAATCTTATTTGGGTTCGAATAAGCAAAATCCTCTCCTTCGAGGAAGAACATAACAGGTAAAAGATCAGACTTCTTTTTCGACAGCTGAAATTGGTGAAGTTAGCACGTCGTTGTCTAATTGTGCGATTAAGATGTACCTTTGGTGTGTAAATGTTAAGGTAAAGGCAATCTTCACTTCCAACTATCCTGTCGGTCTCCCTTTTGGATGCGAACTGAAGACAAACATTGTGCGGGCCGGTGGCATTTAAAGTTCCTCTCCAAGCCTCAGCCGCCACAGGCAGCTTTAATTTGAATATTAAGTATGATCAGAGACGCATGCCAAAGTGACTCACCTCAAATCTGAGTTGACCAACCGGGGGCTTGGCGTACGGTATTCCAGTGAAGTAGTAATATGGACGTTTGTTCTCAGTTACTCCCACACCACCACGAATGCGCCCTTCGGGCATTTTCACGATACGAAATTTACCATATGCCAATGTGGATATGATCAAACCACTTACTAAGATAATTATTGATGTTTTGAGCATTGTACACTGAATAACAGGGTTTGAGTTGTGGCTGCTTTTATACACTATTGACAACGGCCATGGGAGGGGCACTTGAGATACCAAATCAGTCGTCTTTAGGAAGCGATTAGCACGTTTCATTTATCGGTTAACCCCCAACTCGTAGGTGCTATCTATTAAAGCAAACACCTTGCCAGAATTAGCTTGAATTCAAAATTCGTAATGTGTTCCGGGTTGGAACTTCCAGAAGGTTTACGCGCCATTCTTTATCGCTTCTAATTTTAGCCCACTCAGGTTAATCTGAACGATCTCATCTGCGTAATCTCTTTGATATGTCGAACGGATATGACCTTAGGCTACTCTTTTTTGTCGAAATAGTACAAGGGTACCTAACTATCCATGATTGTCGGATGTGGACCAGTCAATACCTACACGCATTTTACGACTTACAGCTGTGGAATGTTTTATAGGAATATACGGTTTGGTACCAAAACCAAATGGTAGCAATAAGTAACATTTGTTCCATTCTTGATTCTTTGAATGTTGGTTGCTATTCTGGATCTTTGGGTAATGACCTAAACTACACGGCCCTAGATGATTAGTTACATAAGTCCAAAATAGAACATCCACACGTGGTTAGTGAGAAAATTACAAACAGAATTTAATCGCGTAATAAAAACTTGATAAGAGAAGAGCAAATATTTTTGTACTGTCGGCGATTAGATCCTTTAAACTTACCAAAATAATTGTTTTTTTTTTAATCAAATATATCTGTTTGTAGTTGTCGGCGATTGATGGAAAATTTAGATTTCAGAAAATGGCGCAATAGCAATTCTCCGTTAGATTTTTGAGTTCCCTCAAATCCTCCAATTACTCATTTGGTCCATGCCTGATTTGTCCGCCGTTAATTTATTGCCTAAGTTTCCTGCACACTTGATAACATTTCCTTTGGACTGTGTAGCATTAGACGCGTATTTAGGGGGGGTTTATTTTCTCTTTGTTTATTAATATTTCATTTCGTTTCATTTCAGGAAGCGCTGTTGTCCTTTTCTAAGTAACTGAAAATCGCTCGATTATCTCATCACAGATCTATTTTCAACTAGGTACTTGAATTCAAGGTAATTTCGGTAAACTTTAAAAGATCTTCTGATAACTTGCTTCAGTTATTGTTTTTTTTTACTGCAGGCAGCAATATTTGAAAATTTCCTTCCTAGCTTTGGATATACTTACACGTAATCAAAGTCTCTTACCAGTATTTGTTCAGTCTATCTTACAGAAACTGGCGTTTCTTTGAATTAAAAAATCTCGAACAAAATGGAAACATGAAAGAAGAAATTACCAGAAAAATAGAAGAACGTTCTAGAAGTTTAAAACGTGACCTCGTGGAAACTTCCAGAATGTTTTTGGGACAGATTGGCCAACCCAAGAAGAATCTAAAAGGAGTCGAAAAAACTAGAAAATTCAAGAAATGGAAACCCGAGCAGCAAACAGATCTAGAACTGGAGCTGCTACAAAGTGGTCAACTTGAAAAAGCTACGATTGCTCATTATAGATCAAAAAACAAAAGCAGTACCGTTAGGGCTGTAGAAGAAGAGGACGCCATTCAAAAAACATTGTTGAGGGCATTGACTACTGAAGTTCAAGCTGTCAAGGCTACAGTGACAAAGAAACAGCTCCATTGTTGGAATTGAGGAAAAATTGGGCATTTCCAGAATCGATGTCGAAAGGCTCGTTGGAGACCTGCCGAATGGAGTTAACAAAAAAAGTAGTAACACTAAAAAAAAGCGCGATGAAAAGAGGCAAACATCACTCAGCACTCACAACTTATAATTCGATTTGTGTAGGCGGTTTAGTGGATGGCCATACTTATGGGTACCGGCCCGACAAGAACAATAATGTTAAAACAGCCGGTTTTTCGGATCGGATCGGGATTATGGAATTTTACAGTCATGCCGTTTAGATTGTGTAACGCACCCACAACGTTTGAACGTCTCATAAAAAATGTTCTAAAAGGGTTATCGTGGAAGACTTGTTATCTACCTGGACGATATCATTGTGGTGGGAAAGACCTTCCAAGACCACATAGAGAATCTGCGCCGATAATGTGCTATCCTAGATCGAAAGGGGCAACCAGCTGTGTTGGTATCTGAACAAGAAACTGACCCAGATTTGAAACCGATTATTGAGTGGAAGACTGCTTATAACGAGTAAGTAGAGTTGGCGCTGCGATTCAGCCGCATAAACGGCCAATTAGCTCAAGTTGACAAAATAAGAGCTTGAGAATCTTCCACAGCAATAGTTCGTTTTGGGTAAAATAATCTTCTTTACTTTGTTGCACTTATCAAGGGTTGGGCGCCACTCAATCTCTATTAACTCTCCCCGCCTGAAATTGAGACGATACGGGGGTATTACAAGGTATACCAGTCAATTTAGATACCAAAATAAATGCTGGTTTATTGTCAACAAATATTAAATAAAGTCCCCAACGGGATAGCGGACACAAATATTCAAAATGATAACTTAAGTTACTTACGCATCTGAGCATCTTGATTTTACGAAAGTAAACCCCCAGTTTAACAAAACACCAATTAAGAATAATCGATTAAATGAATTACTGGATCTTAAAACAAGTTTTCACAAAGAAGTTGATGTTCCGAACACAAATGCGCACGTGTAGTACCAAATACAAGTAAAACATATAAGGCGGCACTTACTTTACTTTGATAAGATGTTACCCAGAGAAGTGAACTCAGTTCCTGGATCCATAAATCTGTAAACAAAAGAAGAGCTCGGAATGCAATGAACTGACAAATGCTTGAATTCGTAGTAAGTTCACAAGTTCGATACTTAATCGGTCAACGCTTTAGAGGCAAGTGAAGGGTTGCCAATAGCATACGCGCGTCTAATAATAACAATAATAATAATAATACAATAAAGTTACACGTCCTAGCACAGTTAAAAAACACAAAACTCCTTCTTCCCACAAACACACCACGTTATCACAACCCACTCGTATTCAACCCAAACGCAAAGCCAAGAAACACTTACACAATAAACTCCATTTAATAAAATTACAGGAATTATTATGATTTTTTTTCCTCTTTCCTGATAGCGTTGGCTTATTGTGCCCATCAATAGGTATGTTGATAAGTATGAATTACATACTATCCCTAGATTTAACTCTACGTGTGTGATTATTTTTTTTTTAGGACCCTACATAACTTCATCAGACTCAGACACAGACAGTAATCGTTACTTGATTTTAATCCGTGCGATTAGTTAACCAGGCTAGACCTGAGCTCTCACAAGAAACACCGATAATAATAATATTTATTTGCCCAACAGATATACATCAACTTATTGGACAAAGCCATATTACAAAACAAAATACATTTAACGGGCTATGACAAAATTAAAAATAATCAAAGAATAAACATACAAATAAAACTTAATCTTAATATTTTAACTGAATAGAAATAGAATTATATATATAAAAAAAGGACCTGTATCAATATGTGTGCATTAACTAAAAAATAATCATTATCCAACCAAAAACTAAAATACGATATAAAGGAAAATGTATTAACATATCGGCATGAAGCTCTGCAAACACTGCTTATCAATTATCATAAAAAATACGAATAGAATAGAGAAGAAGAGAAAAAAAAACATATGTAGGTAAACTTAGTAATCTAAAAAATATGTCGTATACATGAACTATTCATATGTATTATAGCATAGTTTTCAACATGCATGTTACAAATTTTGCAAATTGTGTCTAATACGATCATCATTTCACAGAAATCGCAAGATAATAGATATAGATACTGACGTTTACAAAAATTACTTACAAGTGATCGCATATAACCCGAAAGGGGCAAAAATAGTTATTAATTAAAACGCAAAAAGTTATGGAAGTTGTTTTGTTGTTGTAGATCGAATCTGATGCATGACCCCGTGACCCAATTTCAGCAAATGGCGGTTAGGAAGGGCGTGTTGGCACCGATGGTGAATTTACTTAAAGGTTACCCACATGCGTATGTAAAACGTATCCGGAATTATAATTAAAATTGTATTGGAACTGGTTTTTAAAACTGAGATTTGCAATTAAACTCGAACTAAAATAAAAAACCCTAAAAGAAAATCACAGGTAACACTCTGCGTTGATATCCAAAATATACCTCTTTAAATAAGAGGGCTAATTATAGATGAAGGTGATGGAAAATTGTATATGAAATATCAACCCACCTAAAGAAAGAAATATACCTCAAGTGGATGTAATGCAAATGGCGGTTACTTACGATTAACTCCCAAATCCCCAAATCAGAAGATTACTACACTAAAAATTGTGGCAATTAAAATTCAATGCGTTTTGCTGTTTAATTAAAAATCAATCACACTATCACCGCTTGCAGTCGAAAGAGAAAAATGAAGGTCGACAATCGATAACCAACGCGCGTGGTCAAAATTCCAACGATTGATGGAGTCATCTATTCGAAGGTTACGCCTGCTTTCCAAAAGTTACGAGGATCATTCAACAAAATATATCGTGACTTGCAATTAAGAAAATAAACCGTTACAGACGAGCCGATTGGGTAGCACCCTCTTCCAATGTGAAGGCGCACTGGGTGGGATTCGTTGGTGATTGAAAACGATCTTCTAAAGCGTATCCTGGAGAGTGACGATGGAAACAGTTCGGAGCTGGGAATAACTTCTGACCAAGCCGTGAAGCGGTCGATGAGCGTTAGTGCGTACGTGAATCCTAGGTTTGTAGGAAGAGGACCGATCAAATCCATGTGTATGTACGTGATTGAAACGTAGAGATTCCAATTGGAGTTGTCCTGGAGGTGACACGGTGTAGCGAATGAATATTGGCGCGTTGACAATCGAGACACCAAAGCTTGATGTCAACGTTTCTTTGTACCTTCTTAAACATTCATTAAACCAGAACCACAGCTCTACATCCTCAACCCGACACCACGGTGGAAAGGTAGAACGATCAATCGTTATTTGTCTCGGAACTTCAACACCTACATCTGTTTCTCCTTTAGCATATCGATCCCCT